CCATAAAACTGTACACACGCTCAAGCACACACATATACATATTAGTTTTTATGCTGTGTTAGTTATCTGTCTGTGTCTATGGCAGCAGCTGCTGCTTGAAACTCCGCTTTGCGGCCAAAAAACTCTCACTAGGCACTTAAAAATTAACGCTTTTGACAGCCAAACGGACTTTCAAATGTCCAAAGAGCAGCGCAAGCAGCCAACTAGCCAACTAGCCACAGATTGTGGCAAGCCGCATGCGCAGGCGCAGCAAAGTGTCAATGCGCCGAGCAGCAGCTTTAACAAGATTGGCAGAGACGTCGACGTCGAAGTCAGAGTCCATGTCGGCGGCAGATGAGACAGCGACAACGAACCGGCCGTAGCCAATCTTGAGATTTTCTCATAAGGTGCAAAATCTGTGGATATCATCATAAAAGACGAAACAACCGAAAACATGCACAGAAATGAGCCCAAGAGCCGACAGAAATAAAGTCGTAAAAGCCGCAGCCGCCAGAGCAGACTGAAACGCCTCTCTTAGGTTCTGGTACTAACTTGAGAGGTGGGAAAAGGGGAGCCGAAGATGCCTCCTAATTAGCTGACTGACTGCCTTGCAATTGAGGGCGACTGCGCTTCAATATTTTTAGTATATATTTTATTATTATACAGTTTTATTCATTGCGGTAGATGCACACAAGTCCACAGCCTCTGAACGTGAATCCTCTGAAACAATGGAGCAGTTAAAATCCGTTGCTAATAAATAAATTAAGTCTTTAACGATGACAACACGGGCGCAAAGACAGAAGCGACTCCGCAGGGCGCTCGAACATCTCAATTATGTTGTTTAGGCTCATTGTTTTTGAATTTTTTCTTAATTTTCTTATGGTTATGGCTATTTGTTGTTGTCTTTTTCCTTTAGCTTATCGCATCGCAGATCGGCCAGAGTTGCCCAAATTGCGGAAATTCGTTGGCCGTGCGGCAATACAATTTAAATGGGCTCATAAATGTCTTCAAAAGCCCCCCATAGAATGCCGAGGGCCGAGAGTTAGTCACCTGCGATTTTGCGCCGCCACGATGCGAATTATTTCGTCTCCAATTAAACTTGTAATAATATTTTTGTTAATGCTCTTAATTAGCTAATTTGCAAACAATTAAAGTCGGAATATGCGTTTCTTTTATGCGCCCATTTGATTACAACCTGTGGCCGCCACAAAGTTGCCAACTCATTTGATTGCCGATAGACCCGCGCATTTAAAGCCAACTCATGGCGGGAAATATACGCACAAAAGGTGAAATTGTCAAAAAAGTGAAATGTTTGCATGGCAAACTAAATCAAAAAGAAAGCTCTAGATACCATGAATTACTAACGGGCACGATTCACATTTACTACTGAATATAATTATCCGGTGCGAAAAGAGAGAGATGCCACATTTTGAATTTTAGTATCATATTCATACCCGCAAAGCGCCAATTCTGAATACGTGCAGGCCTAAGCAAAGGCTGTCCTTGTTATTAAATAGCATATCATATATACTCTAAAGTGTGCTGTTACACTCTCCATACATGACGCACATAGAAACAACTCACATCATATTCACAGACTTTTAACTATACACGTTACACGGAGATGCTCCTTGGACTAGTGTCTTGCGAAATTAGCTTACATCAATAATTAAATGTCCATAATTTACCTATCTGAAAAAACAAACCAAAAATTGTTTAAAATCATTAATAATCGTAGGGCTCATCAAAATGTCATATCATTTATTTATATACTACACTTGATGTAGTTTGGCGCATCTAATTAATCGGAACCACCCACCTTCAGTTCTGAAAGGCAACTTTTCATTTTAGCCATAATCTATTTTAGCAGAAATTATCTCGAACTGAATTGTTGCCAAAATGAGAAACTCTGTTCCCACGTTTGCCAAACTGGAATACAGTTTTATAACCGTAACCAGACACATATCTGGCCCTGAGAATATTTCGTGATGTCCACCTGCAAAAACCTAAACTAAAATTGAAGAGGAAAGAAGATCTGTTGTTGCAATCCCGTACTCTGCTAGTCCCAGCTGCGTGCGAGCCTCACAGAATAACTACGCACGAAATGGTTTTTTCTTTCTTTCAGTTTTTTTTTTATGATGTTTTTGTTTTTGTTCGGCAGGTAGTTTCGTTAATGCGAGTATAGCAAAGCGTTTCCAAACAATTGAGTTTTTAAAATGACAATTTTTCTCCGTGAGCTGCCTGTGAACAGAAATAGAACAAAGCCAATGCCTGGCAATGCACCTGAGCTAGTGAAAGATCACGTCTATTGTGTAGCTGGGAGAAACTAATGCTTTATATAATTAAAAAAGTCCGCTTCACCAGCATGCGATGGCAATGGCAACGGCTCAAGAAAGCAGCTGCCAAAAAAAACAAAAAAAAAAAAAACAGAAAACAAAAAAAACAAGTTTGTTGCTTGAGTCTTTTGTTTTGCTACCAGGCGCTCGTCAAGTTTTTTGCTTTTTCGGACTAACAAAACTTGCTACCCTGTCTCCGTTGTTCTCCTTTCGATTTAACGCTTCACTACTGACAAATGAGCAGCATATCCTGTTGATCCTGTTGTAAGGAACTAATTATAATGCTCCTGTACGTGTGAACGCTGCAGCTTTAATTGCAAAAATAATTAAAAGCTCATAAATTAACGGATTGCAGCAAAAAACGAAACGTGCAAATTTAATTATGGCCAGACTCAATTAATTCATTAAAGCAACGAAAACAACAACAACGAGAACGACGACGAAAGCGACTCCCTTCCCACCTTCTGCAGTTAAATCAATCAACGCCAAATACTCGTGCAGACGCGCCTTTTCCCTAAGGACATGGTCTGTGGCGAAACGAGCAGTCGCAACCGGTTTGCAGCCGCCTGTCCTTTTGCATCCTGGGGCGCACTTAGAATATGCATTATGCAACTGCGGTGCCAGCAGAAGTGCGCCAGGGCTGGGGCTTTCATAATTTATTGATTTTATATGGCGTCACATTTGTCTCTTTGTCTGTCTCTCGACACTGAACGCTGACAGTTTTTGCCACTGCCGTCGCCGCAGAGACGTTTGACAGTTGCAGGTTGTCATCGCAGTGCGCCGCTTTGCTGTCACTTTAATTGCAACTGACGCATTGCCAAAAATATATACATTCGAGCCACTGCCGCATATCCTGCCGGCTTTCCAGCCTGCCTCCCTGCTTCGTCTTGTCATCTTGCGATAAGCTCGACTGTCATTTCAATTTTTCATGCTGCCAAATAAACAGCGCAAGGTGCGCTAGCCAGTCTCCCGGTCTCTCCATTGCCCCTCTCTCTTTTTCTCTGTCTTTCTCTCCCTCGCATTCTGTTTCCCCCTGACCAGGAGTACTCTTATCCAGTTGTGGACCACTTTACCGCCATCAGCCAGCGTATGAATAAATAATATGCAATGCTCCCTTTGGCTATAATTCGTGGGTACGCGTATATTAAGTCGAACGGAAGTTTGTGGCTTAAGTCTTTTGTCTTGCGGTAGGGTTAACTGTTAACGGTTCCCCCAATTATTAACCAAATAATTGCGACCATTGCATCATAAACTTGGCGACATTATTACATACGTTCCACTGTAAAGTTGTGCTGAATAAATATTATATGTTTATCCTATAATTAAGACAACTGGGGTGAACCTTTATTATTTAAATATAAAATTGATGCTAATGTACACACAGTCCAAACCGTAAGAGTTAAAAAGAAAACCAAAATTGTTGCTAGAGATACCTTATTTTCAAATATCTATACGAAAATTCATCGTCTTTGATTGAAAGTGAAGCTCAAAGGATGATGAACGAATGTTTATTTTTCGGCTACAAGCGTCTCACCAAGGGACTAAAATGAGCGGAAAATGTTGATTCCAACTTTAGGTCTGATGGGCTTCAAAGTGATATTCAATAATTGATGTTAAATGTAACCTTACATAGTACAGATGTAAGTTAATCTTTTCCTCAGCTGGGAAGTGAGTGAAAAAATCTTAAGTTTGTATATTTTTAAGTCAAGTCCCAAAAGTGCCTAAACTGAATTTGTATATGTGAGGTTACTGCAGTCAAGTACATGGTATTAGAAAATTCAGCCCGCAAATGTGGAAAATATAAGCAAAAGAGTGGTATTAAATTTGAATGTTCACTATCGGATCATCGTTAAACTTTGATGAAAATTTATGGGAGACTTGTTTTGCATTATTCGCAAACTCAATGTCGATACTCTAAGGTTTAAAATTTTGAAGATCAAGTTTCATCCCATCAGCTTCAAGCTCAAATTTAAAGATTGCTTAAGCTAGGGTTAATTATAAGAATGCTCTAGTAAAAAATGACCGACTAAGAGTTACCGTTAACGGTAGCATCTACCTGGTTAAAAATACCATTACACTTCTTTTATCGATTCGGTAAAAATAGATTTGCTAATGAAATAAACTTTATCTGAACAATATTGGGGCGTTCTATGTTTCTTACTCTAAATTACACCGAGATCCACGCGTTCTTTCAGATGGACTGACAAGCCAATGGACATAGACTCTCGGGAATCCCAAGGTACCCTTCCATACTGAGTATGATGGTGGAACCAACTTACTTTGTGACGACAGAAATGTTTTCGATAAAACTACAAAATTTGAGTTCGAAAATGGGCTTAAAATGCATGCGGCTACATATAACATATGATAGGCATAGGCAATGAATGTTTAAAGAAATTATATATATTTATTATTATTTATGTCATGATTATGCATCCAGCTTTTAAATTCACTTTAATTATAGCGCTCATTAATTTTATGCACATGTACATGCATGTCAGGTTGATACCAATTCGAGTTGCCCAAATATCTTACCGCTCTTACCGTTAACTTTTCTCATTATGGATTCACCCTATTGCACATGCAACATTATGCCCAAAATTCAACCCTCTCGTGTACGGTTTTCGATGAATAGATAATAAATTACCAAAATGCAGACGAGCTGCAATTAAAAAGAAAAAGCAATCCAAACCAAACTAACCCCTTTGGGCCATTTATTCTAACGAAACCTTTCAGCCATGAAGGCCAGCAGGTGCAGCAAAGTGAACCAAGTTAAAGAGTGTGCTAATGATATCAATAAAATTTAAATAAATTGATCTGAAAGCGTATTCTGAAATGAAATAGCCGGGCAGGTCAAAATGCAACAATTAAAATGCACTTTCGTGCAAATCCTTGATGCAACTATAACTGTAACTGCAGCTCGTTGCAGCTGCATCTCGACCAGTTGCAGATGCATATCACAATTTGGCTGCGTGCTCATTAACGGCAGCGCAGCAGAGCGCAGCAGAGCGCAGCGTATTTATTTTTATTAATTTTGATAGCGAATTGTTTGTATTTGTGTCGCCTGCAACATGCAACAGGGCTTCGTGGCAGCGTGGCAAGTGCAGCGTGACCAATGCCCAAAAATTGAACCCTAGCCAAAAGACACTAGCTGCGGCATTTGCATCGGCTGCACGCGCTGCTCACCCCTTTGCATTATCGAAAATTTTGTTAGCGTTTTGTGTCTCGGCACCATCCTTGTCCTGGTCCTCGGCTCGATTTCTACGCTTTCTACACTCACTCACACTGGCCACTAGCCGCGTCCAGGAACAGGTGTAATGATTTTGCTTTGCACCTTGACTGCTGCTTCCGTTTCGTTTCGTTTTTGTTGCTGTCGTCGTCCAGGCTTGTCGATAACTTTTTGGCTGGGGGTAATTTGTGTGCATTTACTTCCTTGCCGCAACAAAAAAAAGTTTTGCAATTCTTTATACAGGGTGTCACACTCGGCGTACTATTTCTGTTCAACATTTTCGATTAAGCGCGCAATATTCACATCCTTTGCATTCGCTTTTTCTAAACATTAGTTTTAGTCTCAGTAAGCAATATATTGTATATATTCACTATTCACTCACCCTGCTCCTTTCTGCGGTTGTGCTCCTCGGATTCGGATTGCATAAACAACGAGAGCGCGTAGTGCAGTACAGGTAATACGACAAATAACTTTGGGAACGTCTGCCAATTTATTTTCATGGTTAAAGCAACAAAAAAAAAAAAACAAAATAAAATTGTCAAATACAAACTTTCTAAAAATTATTTAAAGCTAAGATGGCAGGTTGAACATATTAAATTGAGTATACTTGACTCTTGTCAATTTGAGTTACATCCAATAATATGAAGATGAATGCAGGGCACCCTGTATCCTTCGCCCCTGTTTAATCATTAATTTCATACTAAGGACTTTATTATCGACATTGTATCGTAAGCGGTACAAACCAGAAGCATTTAAAAAACACTGAGAAAAATTTTTCGATGCTTTATTTTGAACTTAGAAAAGGACAACTTACGATAAAACAATAAAAAATGGGTGCAAGCCGAGGATTAGATACCCTTGTAGACATTTGTCTTAAGGTTTTGCTATGTTATGTGTGTGAAAGAGGGAGACAAAGGGAGAGAGAGAATTATTAAGCTCTTAAATACTATGGTTGGTGAAGATTTATTAAAAAACAAAAAGGTTTTTATGCATGTACTTTTGGCCGATCGTTCCTATGACAGCTATATGCTTTTGTAGTCCGCCAATAATAAAATGTTGACTATATATGGAAGTAGATTAAAACTGTCAAATGCCGAGCTTGCTTAAAATGTCTTGATTAAAAAATTGACTTAAATTTTGATCGATCATTCCTATGGCATAATATATATATGAATAGTAGTCCGATCCAGACGGTTCCTTCGTCCGAAAGATGGAGCATTGCAGACAGACGGACATGGTTATATCGATTCGACCGCTGATACTGAAGAAGAAGAATATATATACTCTGGAAATGTGGGTTGAACATTTCTATACAAAATGTAATTTTAATTTAAAAATATAAACATATAGCTTCTAAATACACAAAACAGGAGAGTTCTATAAATCTGAATTATGATTGAATAAATATTTCTAATTTCTATAAAGAAAAATTCAAAACAACGATATAATAAACAAACACAATGTTAGGTTGGATTATTATCCAATATGGAATATATTGCTATGTTAAGCCCAATTTTTGCTGCCAGTGTACGTTCACTGTGGAAATGTAATACAACCGCAAGACAACTTCCTCAATATCAATCATTGCGCCTGCTATATTTCCTACCCCCATATACAACTTTCTTCATAAAGCATTTATGTAGCCCCAAAATAAAATACAGTTGCCTTTGCCGTTGCCGTTGCTGTTGTGAGCAGGTTGTGAGCAGGAGCGGCAACTGCAATTTTCAGGTGTTAGCCGAGTGGCTGGGGCAACCCTCTCATTAGACAGGCAAAAATGATATATTTAATCCGTTCGTTCGGCCGTTCGCTCATATAGCCAGGCTGGCGAATGCTCGTCTTCGATGCGATACACAACGGCAAGACGCGTATTGATAAACCTGATATGGAACACACTTAAGGGCTTAACTTGGGTAATCTGCAGTTTGTTCAAGTGGAAACAGCAGCGACAACACCAACCGGCACTGAGACTGGGCCAGCGAAATTAAAACATAAGTATGCGTAAGGTTTATAAACATCAAGGAGACGCAGCACTTGGAACTTAAGCAGCGAACGGGGATCATGTTAGGGGTAAGGTACAGGGCGAGGGCGAGGGACAGGCGCAACAGATCGCAGATGCAGATCGCTGCCAGTTGCCGGCGAAACGTCGCTTTGGTGCAGGTGGATTTCTCAAGTGGCTGCGTCCGTTCTCTTGTCACTTCATCCAAGTATCTGCATACATGTGTGTGTATACAATTTTGAAGGCAGACATAGATACGCTAGTACTTACTTTGATTGAAGTGCCACAAGTGTCTAGGCATTAGAAATGTTACAAAAATACAGCCTATTAGTTTATTCAACTAGATGTGATGAATATATATTGGTATAGCTGAGAGATCCTTATTGATATAAATATATTTGAAAGTAATTTTGTATACATTTTTTTTGTATACAATTATCAATCAAATATCAAATTCTTATAGATTTTTCTTATCTTGCATACATATTGTATCTTTATATATAAATACAGAAAAAATAAAAAAAAGGGTATTGGGTGATAAGTCCAAATTGAAGAGACTATAATAATGTGGTCAAGACTTTCCGATCCAGAGACACGAATGAAGATTATTGTTTATTATATTCAACGTGCTTTTTTTCTTTACTTTTAATCGATAAATATCGATTTTGTGTCGGAGTCTTGAACACATCCTTGAGGTTATAAAAGCTATAGTCTCAAAATAGGCCTGTCTTGCTGTCTTGCTTTTAAATCCCATACGTTAAGGCTAAAGAATAGACGGCTGAAAAAGCTGATGTAAGCATTTTTCCTGTGTCTTCATGTCCAATTTCGTCAATCTCCACAATCAATCTCCACTCCTGCTTTTTTCTATTCAATATTAATTAAATTATTTCGCAAACATTGACTGACAGATTTATTTTTTTGCAAACCCAACGATTTATAGCCGATATACTTTACTCATCAGCTAGAGCGATATTTACGAAAAGTCAATAAAAATCCCCATTGTGGAAAAAAAATAATTGTCAGTTTAACTTTGTCCACGCAAATGCATGCATTCAATAGTTAGGGAATGCGGATGGAGATCCCAAAGGAGCTGGGTCAGTTGCAAGTCGCATTATTCATGCCTGCTTAAGACTTGGCAGCCAAGATTTCGATTCTTCTCAGTTGACTTTCTGATGTCTGGAGGGAAATGCAATTGTATGTGGTGTCAAAAGTCGCACAGCAATCCATCAATTTAACAGCCATGGAAAATCAACAGACGCGCGCACAATGGAGCAGCCAAATCGTAAAATAAATTGTACAAAATATATCAAGCAAAGGACAAAAAGGACACAGTAGTCGAGCTCGGGGTGGGTTGGCCCCTGCAGGCATCAAATGATTTCTTTATATTCCATTTCCATGCTCAAGCAGCGACAATGAAACACAAAAGTCATGTGTTGCATTTGAAACAGAAGACGCTGTCGTTGTCCTTTGTGGCATGTTTGCGTAATGTTAACAACACTGTGCAAACTTTAAGTTGCTGAGCGGCCCAAGCAGCTGCCAAGAAGTCAACATACTGTGCCCCAATCTCTAAGCGCAACGCGTGCCATATGTCAAACCCAAACTAGCACATAAGAAGAAAAAAACCCCAAAAAACAAAAAACATAAGTATAAACTACTCCTGCCAGGCGGACTGCATGTAATTAAAAACCACACGCCTATCATTTATATATAAGAAAATGTATCCACCAAATTTTAGCTCCAATTCGACGCCGTGCGGCATCCAAGCTGCTGCCCTTGCGCCGGTTTTTGATTGGCTTCGCAGCGGCGGCGCATTAAATGTCGCTTTAAAAAGTAAAAAAAAAAACAGACACCAAAAATCCTGGCAGCCGGCGCAGTTCATCAACTGCAACAACTGTCGGCCTGGCATCAGGTTTACTTTACGCTTCGCTTTCATGTCCAGATTTTTTATATTCATTTGGTTTTTTTTGTTTTTTACTTTTGAGGAATGGGTCTCGTGTGTGGCAGCGGCAACGGCGACATGCCGCAAACATTCCGCTCGATAAATTTCCTGCAATCAAATTGCAGCGCTTTTTTTTCCATATAATTAGCGACTAATATTGGCTGAGTGTAAGGGACTTTAGTATATATTAATACGCACAGCCCCATTAAAGGCACTTAATTCTCGTTCTGCCCGCAAGCAGGCGGAGATTCGAGTTGGAATCTGCTTTTTCTTTTTTTGGATAACGCTTTCGAGAAAACAGTATTAATGCAAATTCGATATAACCTCTCGAAATAGTTCAAAATTAATGTAAAATCATTAAAAGCTTATAAATATCCCTATTACAAAATTAGATTTATTTATTTCTGGCCATTATTGGATCATAAAAATTTCGCTTGCAGCCGTACAGTAAAAAAAGGCATTTGCATTAGCAATAAATTGTAATATTTCGGGCTTACAATATTTGGCTGTAAAACATTCCTTTTGAGCAACGTCAACTGTTTAATTCGTACAAGAAGCCATGTAGGCAATCGAAACACGAGCTGAACATCAAGAATGTTGATGGTCGTAAATTCAGTGGAAATAACAAATGTATCTGAACGCTTTTAAAACGTCTGGTGGACAACGCCCACGCATAACAAATAAGTCAATGGCAAAAATAAATAAAAAGCGAATAGGCATTTGATGAGGAATATTATTGGCAGACATAAGTACAAACAGACAGAAACGTCTGGACAAATGCCAACACACCCAACTTAAAAAGTATTTGTCTAGTTGTGCTTGGAAATCAGAATTTTCCAGCGAAAAAGCAACTGATGTGCCTGCTTGTAACAAAGTAGCGTCTGCTGTGATTGCTGCCATTTTGCTGATCCGTATCGCTGCGGCAGCTGCCACAAGAACAACAACAAAAAAAAGGAAAAAAGAGAAACAACAAAAGTAAATCTCTTTGGCATGGTAAAAAAGAAGAAATCGATTTGGACTAGCGGCTGCAGCCTGTTGCGCACAGGATGCTCAGGGCTCTCACTGTGAGTGCAACTGCGACTAGGCCTGCATCTGCATGATCCTTGAAAAGTACCTGCTGTGACCACCAACTGGCAAATGTTTCGAGGATTCGTTTCATTTGTTGCACTCTCCCTGTTCGCGTCGGTATGCACATAGAGGACCCTCTCGCTGGCAATCTGTTGCTCGCTCTGCACATGTCTCTGATTCTGGTGTTTTGATTCAGCTGTGCTGCGAGCAGTGAATTTGATGCCCTCGCAAGGTGTTCCACTGACCCTGTTTTGTGTGCCTGCAGGCGAAATAAAAAACCCAAGCAACATATGCATTTCAAATGCCCTTTGTTTTCGCAGCACAGCCGAGTGCGTAGAAGTTTCGAGCATCGAGATTTTTAAGTACAGTTTCCCACTCTGATCATTAGCCGGACGACCTGTCTCTGTTTGTGCTAACCCACCCACACAATATATATATGTATGAAGCGATTGCCGCGCCCACATCTGTGTTTGAAAGCTAATAAAGTTGTCATTTCAGCACGATTGAGCAGTTAGCCAAACATTTTCCCACTGGCGGCACGTACAGCGCCAAGTGAACCGAACCGGCAATGAGGAGGCAACAATTACCAACAAACAGTCATTACAGTGGCAACCAAAGTTGGCCATAACAAGCGAGTGGCGCTATATAATCATAGACGCCGTCAGAAACGTCCACGTCCACGTCCACGTCCATGTCCGCACCGGACAAAAAGCCAGTGAGCCAGAGACTCAATGGCCAAACGTGGACGCAAACTGCGCTCTAAATCAATTAACAGCACGTCAAAAGTGTTGAAAATTGGACCAAGTGGTCGCGACGGGCAAGTGCAAGGCGGCTGCTAATAGATTAACTGGGGCTGGAGTCGGTGCTGGAGCTGGCGCTGGCGCTGGGGAGGAGGCCTGGTGGCACAAAGACAGAGCGAGATCGAGATACGTCTGGGAGATGGAAAGTGAGGTGCAAAATGTGTAGCAACCTGTCTGCGTTGAAGGCTAATCAGCATGCAAATAATGTTGCCGCCTCTGCAAGAAGATTAAAGAGCCATGTAGCTGCGATAGCCGGCGTAACCAAGTCAGTGCCGACTGCGGTTGGGGCCCCAGCTACGTGCTGAACGCCAAACCAGTTACAGGTCGTTGGGAAAATTATTGAGTAAAATGCGTTTGTTAACACCTAGCGACGAGAGGGCGTTTCCAACATGGACCGATAATTAAGCATGCGTCACGTTGGAGTTGGGGCAGGCATTGCAACTGCATCCAAAATCCCGCCACCCCCACCGCACTGTCCACCTCTCAATGATTCTCTGTTTCTCCCTCTCCCTGTTTGATGGCTCCATTAGCGAGAGTATGCGATATTTAAGTGTAATTATGACAACGGCTAAATTGTGTCCAGCTTCTTGAAGGAACATGGCAACATGTCTTCATTAACCCGCTTGTAACTGGCTAACAAATGGTGGGTAATGGCATTGTTATTGTTATGATTATTTGCCTGGCTGCTTGTTAGTTTATTTGTTTGCCATTTCGATTGACATTCACTTGCCACATTGCCACACATCAGATACAGATACAGATACAGATACAAATCGTAGAAAACTGTGGCAGCATTTTTCGTTACGTTCGGCTAGCTATGAGTTTGCGTTTGTCCGGCTTTTCAAGTTTTTCACTTTTATTTATGATGAAGATGTCAATCTGGCGGCCTATTGCCTCTGTCGGCATGTGTTTGTTTTTCCAATTGCCTGCCTGGTCTACTTTGTTGGCCGTTCGCTGTTGGCTGGCCATCATTGGCCACTCTGAGGTGGCTGTCAGTGTCAGTGTCACAGACGAGTTTTCCATTTCGCCTACGGGCCTGGGAAAAGTTCACTCCACAAAAAAGCTAAGCACACATTTGGATTCGGCATCGAACCATGTTGACTTTTTTAATTGGATCTCTAGGCCGGTAATTGATTTGAAATCAATTTAGGTCCATACTCATAAGATTCTTGTATCGAACTAGTCAACAACCTTATTTGTATATTTATTAACAAATAAATAACAAACAATTTTTTTTTGAAGTTTTATATCCATATCCGCAGAGCTTTTATATTCGTTTTGACTTCTGTGAGATCGTTATAAAACTTTAAGGATATTCTCGCTCGACCGACTACGGTGTAAAATTTGTTTTCGGAGTCATATATGAAATTTGTTTCATGTTATATATATACCATATAAATACCATATAAAAACATTAGCTGATTAAATGGTCTTGCCCGGTACAAGTTTTTGTTTTCAATTTTCCACTGATTTCCCGCACGTGCAAAATATAAATCTATCCATGCACTCTTGCACCCCACGTCCCCAGTCTTATGAATAGATATTTGAGATTCAGTTTGAAGTCAATCGAATTAAGAACAAAAAATTGGTGTCAACGTTTTCCCTTACTTTAATCTCGTAGTGAAAATTAAGGATCTCTTATTTTAAAGAAATGCTAAAAACTTTCTAAACTGCTCGAAAAAACAGCACACAAAACGTGGGATAAAATTATATAAAATATTAACAATATTAAAAAAATGTTCTAATATATCGAGTTTTTATTTATTAAAATTATTATTAGAGGAGAAGACTGAGAATTTGGTATGTTTAAACATAAAACACATATATTTTGCTGTAATTAAAATTACATTCTACTTTTTTGAAACCATATCAAAATAACACTCGACTCGATTTGCCCATCACCCAACTAAAGTTGTTGAACTCCAGCCAGCATTTCCCTAAAATGCAAATGTCCAAATAACGAATTTAAGATAAACAACAAGTTTTACGACCAAATTTCATTGAACGTTTACCCAATACAAAGCTAATTTGAAGATCCCACTAAGAGCGTGTACGGCTATACGGCTCCAGCTCTGTTTGGCGGCACGTGTTGCGCTTACAAATGATGTCCAATCTCTATGGTGGCAACGGTAGTCCAGAAAGTATCAACATTGCCGAAAAGCGCGGCACGTATGTGTCACCGCCGTGGCACACTCACGAAATCTCTTGTGTGGGGCCGTTGGATGTCAGAAGCCGTGAAGAGCCAGAAGCAAGACTCATGAGTCGGACTACCGACTTTCGTCAACGCTTCGGGCTCTGGCTGGGGTTGGGACTGAGGCGTGCGGCTATTTTATGTCAAAATAATTGTTAATCCGCAAGGAGCAGCAACTTTTTGGGAGCTTCGTCATCGTCTTCAGCGGCATAGCTTGAGGCTTCAGCTACGGATACGGCCACGGCTTCGGCTTCGGATTCAGATATTTACGAGTAGCTGTTGCACTCGAAACGTGACAAGCTTATGAAGATTTATGGAGTTCGGGGCTGCCGCCCGTCGACATTGTCGCCATTTCGATTCTCACGATCGGTGTTCGATCGACAGTTTTTTTTTGTCTCTTGATTTTTTTATATTTATTTTGTCCGTTTTTCGTTCTGTGGCGTACACAATTTTGTTTGGTTAATTTAAGTACAAAGTACGTGCAACTCAGAAGGCATTGATTTTTAATTTGTCCATTAAAATGCAATCATCACGCCCGTCGCTACATGCCCGGCTCCCGGTTCCCAGCTCCCAAATCTCGTGCTGCCACCTATTGGATAACGTTGTGTCTCTGCCAGCTCCTTTGTTTTAAAATTAACCAGAAAATATGGCACCATAATTTAATCATTTTATCTCTCACTGCGTGTTACATATAAATTTTGCCCACTCTTAATTTTGATCAGGCATGCAGGCTGCATTTTTCGATTCGCAATCGATTCGCATCGAGCATTTTAATATCTATTTTAAAGTGCTCCATTTTCGTTGTTTCAACAATTCCAAATGACACGGCTGTGAGTTGACTTTCAATTAAATAATATTGTGAAATTATTTAAAAAAAAGTTGGTGACTTCATAGACCAATTATGGGCGTACAATTCAAAAAGGAACTACTCTAGACTTCTCTCAGAGACAAGAATAAATATTGTTTGTTAATATTTGAATAAAACAATAACTTAGAATTTTAATAATTGCACATTAATAATCACCGCATCAGCTTAATTACACTATATAATAAAAGAAGCAGATCAAAATATTGTCTTCTGAGTCGGTTAGTTATGGAATCATGAGGCAGTCTAGGTGTAATGAGATTATTGAATGATAATGACAATGATAATGAAGTACAATAATATATTAACTAATTTTTTTGATTGATATACGTATTTAAATAATTCATTCACTTATAAGGTATTTCCTTTTTATGCAATTGTAAACTAAAGTGCGTGCATACACAAAATCTATAATCATTATAGTAAATAAATAAATTAAAAATATCCCTTACTTTAACAAAAATATTAAAATTACCTTGGTGGTGCTAGTGGAAGACAGTTATTTTACTCCAGTAAACTGATTTATTTTTCCCGCTAACTATCCACTGTGCTTAGCATATTTAGCATAGGCCCGAGAGAAGCGTCAGCAGCTTCTCCATTTACGGACGCGTTGCCACAGGATAGACACATGTTTGACATTATCAAACCGCAGCATCCACTGCTGCTTGCATTTTTAATGATCATCACAGAAGGCGAGCTGCATTGAGAATGCATTGAGAACAACATGTTGCACAGGGGCAGCAGCAGGGGCTGTCAAAAGGGAAAAAAGGAAAAAAACAAATGGAAATATATTCAAAACGAGCTGCGAACAGTTGTGATTTTCGGGAGTGTTTGCCTTCAGGGACAACTGTTGCGCTGGCTGGAAACTGGAACTGGGTTCGCAGATTGTGGATCGGAGATGTGGGACTGGGACTGGGACTGGGACTGGTATTATTTCCGCTTTGAGCACCGTTTGTTTCTCTCATTCTCATTGCCAGTTTTGTTTTGATTCTTGAGCCGCGACTGCTGCTTCCGCATCCTTGTTGTTGTCTGATGCTGTTGTATATTTTGCGCATCTGTCGTTGAGACAGGTACAGGCTCAGGATCACAGTGCAACAGCTACGCACCTTTTCTGCTGTTCGGTTGCTTCCTCTGCGCGTATTTTTGCAGACCGGAAGTTTTTATGTCTTTTGTAACTAATCGTCAAGGATCACAGATCACAGATTTCGGCAAACTACAGCAAGGCGGGTGGTTAATGAGAAATCTCCAAAATATTAGTTACAGCCTGTTTCCCAGGCAGTTCAAAGGTTGAACAGGTTTCCTGTTTAACCAAATTTGCATGACCGGAAGTTGTTGCTCTCTTCGCTTGCCCCTGGGTGAAAGGTGATGCCAGCGATCTGTTTGAGATGGTATTTAACAATGGAAAATATAATTTTATGTCAACTACTTAAGCAGATCTTAGGAACCTAAGACTTTGATGGAATAAAGAAAATAAACAGTTCTGTTGGACTTAATAGTTTTTGTGGAGAACAATCAGATATTGAACGTAAACTTTTTCATAGCGATCGTAAGCATATTCTACTGATTGCTTGCTGGGTCCAACTCCTACAAATCAATCGCTTTGATGCTTATTAAAATGGCTTAATTTTTTACTCCATTCCCCAACGAAATCATTAAAAACATGAGCAAAACAAGCAACGAAATCGACTGGGACAACAGCTTGAATCTAGATAAGCCGTGCAACAGGATAAAGCTGCAGTGTGGCGAGGACAAGCGTTAACAAGGAGCAGGAGCAAACGCAACAACAGGCACAATGCATTGAAAATTATGATATAAATTATACAATACACATTGCAACATTTAAAATGTATGGTATGGAGCACCGGCCGCCGGCTGGTCAGGACGAGGACGTGCAGGACAATAGCGTGTCCAACTACAACTACCTGCTGGCTGTCAGCTTGAACCTGCCGATGCTTATCGACGGTTTAAGCGACTCAAATGAGTCTGGCCCCAGCGTTCCGGCAAGGTGAGGACCTTGTCTTGCCAGCGTGACGCGCGATTAGAGATTAGGGCAACGTCTGCGCGCTCAAGGACGAGGACAGACATAGTCCAAACAGGGACAGCCAGCCAGACGGCCCCTATGATCGCGACGGCCTTAAGCAGGATTCCATTAAAAAGAGAATGTCTTGCTGTTAGACAAATGCCTTCATAGAAAAATGCCTGAATACAAATAATCTTACAATGGTTTTCTCTAAAAAAAAAATTGTATGGAAACGTAAAAAATTGATAAGAAAAGTTAAATTATAATCTATTTGGCGATCGTATCTAATTTTCAAGCGATTCTTAATGGCTGTAATGTGTGACAAATTGTATTCATTGCATTTTTAGAATACATTACAAGAAATTCTAGAAACCCTTTTAGTTACGATAGACAATTTCTTCTTATCGAATGGTTTTTATAAATATATACATAGTCAAACACAGATTAAAGCAATTATAATTGTAAATGTTTTATTTTTTATCTAAAGAAATATTTGACAATATATTTTCAAAAATTAAATATCTTATATTGGAACGTTAAATGTTTGAGAAGCTAATAATAATAATTTTTATAGAAAAATTAATTGAACCGGCGACCTCTCATTAGTTAGTTCGACGCTCAACACTTAAGTTACACAGGCTCTTGCAAAGCTCACCTATATAGCTGAGTTGTTTTTGATGCTTGTCATACAATTCCGATCCAAAAGAAATCTCCTGTAGGAATTTCAGCTTCCTAGCTCTTAATATGTTAAAATTTTCGCAATAATATTTGCACAATGCTTACTAGAAAATCAAACAAAATCTTTTCTTATTCAACCTATATAAGCATGTCACACATTCAGCTTTCGCCCTGAAGCGAACTTAAAATCCGAACAGTCGCGAATTGTCAGAGGCTTAAAAAAAAAGAGTAGGGGAAATTTGGAAATAACAATAAAAGGATTGATCGGATAAGGATAAGGATAATCGCTATTGTGGGGCTTGTTTACGTTTAGATGAAGCCAATTGTCACAGCACAAAGCATTGTTAAGAGCCGAAAGGATTAGAGTGAAAACCATGCCCGATAGTTATATAACATTTCGAAGGCTTGCAGCTGCCAATGTGACATTATGTGGGTGCTCGACAGGATATTTGGTTGGCGATCGCATGACACTGAAAGCTTTGAAGTCGCATATGCCAATGAGAGCATGAACAGCAGCTGATGGTCTCAGCGGGCGACAGGATATATAGGTCCAAGAAATTTCTATGAAAAAACAAGATGTCATAATTTTTTTACTCGTCTTTGGGTACGTAGAAAAAGTGCCATAATAAGGACACGCACGCTCCAAACCGAAATGACAGGATCAGCGCCAGTGACAGCTGCTGGCGACAGCACATGCCTTTCAACTAAAGCAGGATACGCATATCCTGCGTTTAAAATTCGAGATTTTTTCTATTAAAAAATCGTGTGCAGACGGCACGGCACGCGCTTGACCTTGACATTGTTCCTAGGCACAGTCCTCGCTGACTCGCACTAAACTGGGACTGTACATGTGCAGCCAACGCAGCGAGCACAGCCGGCGGCTAGCGGAGGAGTCAAGCGTTAATTGTAAGGACACGAACACGGATGCGAGCACATGTACGGGCAGCCTACCTAGCTCGCATGCTGCTTACATTTTTTTATGTAGCTCATCGCTTTACTTGTTTTTTGTTTGTAAGTATCCTGTTCCAAATGTCCTGCGTCCTGCGTGTGCATGCGTACAGCAACAGCAACAGCAGAAGCAGCAACAACAACAATGGCAACAATGCCAAGAAAAGACAACAGCAAAAAAATATATATGATGAAGCGAACGAAAAATTGAGCGGGGCAGATGTTTCCTCAGCAGGCTGCAAGCAAAAATAACACCACGCATGATCAGTTGCTCGCCCTGTCCTGCTCGTACTCCTGCTCCTGCTGCTTTTTATGCTTAGTTGTGTTTTTTAGTGCGTCGCACTGAAATTGTGGAGCATTGTCCTCCACGGCCCCGCACGCATTAAGACTGAGGTTCGAGTAACTGGCGCACAATGCTGCCAAGTTTTTCTAGTAAATCGGATGACTATTGTTTCCGCCTCGAAGAAACCAAGGTATCATTATCATGTTGAGCAGCATAGACATAGTGCGGGTGCCTGTGCCTGCCTTGTCAGCCAGTTGCCTTTCAATCTGCAAGATGTCTAGTTTTTAGCTTGTTCGACTTCACATTGCTGATACAATAATTTTATTTTTTTTGTAAGCACTCAAGGTCTTCATTTGTTATGCAGCTCAGGGATCGCGGCACATGCTGGTCAATTTCATGTTTTCATGCACAGACAAAAAATAAATCATTTTTTAAGAATTTATTTCCCAACTGCAATAATTTTTTATGGCTTATAATAATATATCATCACAAATATTCAGTTCAAGAAACATAAAGGGATACACAACAACGATAAATACTTTCAATTAACATTGATCAAAAATGTTTAACTCTGCAAAAAAATATAATTCAATTCAGAGTTAGTTAAATAGTATTACAAATCGGAAAAGCTAATCAAAAAAATGTTAGAAACTGTATCTCTATTTCTGCTGAAAAGCTTCCTTTTATTTATTTAAACACACGAGCCAGGCCTCTGTGTCGGCAGATGTTAACTCTCTTTAATAATGAGGGCTATTCATTATGTGTAGCCATTGAATAATTCTTCCATTAATCCATCGGCAGCTGTATTTGTTGCCTAGCCCCCACAATATTTGCACAACATAAATGTAGGTGCTCGATAACTCAATCGATGCACACAAAGCCTACAAAATTAGATATGATTTTCAGGAATAACCCCTTGGCAATTGTATGCAATTGCCTGCAAATTTATACAATTTTGACAATATATTTTTGCAGCTTGCCTTGTCACATACTACGAGTGCTACTGGGCCTAAACCCCTTGGCACACCTTTGGCCAATTGTGACAATTGGGGAATTGAAGGATTGCAGTTTGCGTCTGCATTTGAGTGTTTGCGCAAACATGACCCAGAAATGTCTGTGGACTATTGTCAACTGGGTCCTTTGTATTTGAAATCCTTTTTTTCTTATTTCAGATTTGCCTTTTGATTAGCAGCGCTCGCGGTGCCATGTGCTGAAAGTCTTTGGAAGTCATTGTTGGAATTTCAGGTTTTTAGGTTTTGTGTTAGTTTTCGATATGGATATGTCAATAGAGGTTGCGATATGTTTGTCCAATCGAACTGTGAAATTTCAGTTGATGTTGATTTCAGCTCTGTGCATCTGCATAGTTCACCATTGTTCTCAGTGTATTCATTCAGTTTAAAGAGTTTTACGTGCCTCGGGCGAATCCTTTGGCCCTAGCATATGGCTCAGCTTCTTGGAACCTATAGAGATCTCTCTCTATTATTAAGCCATTGCCTGTTATATAAGTACCATAAATCGTCGAGCAGCAATTCACAGCCAGGCGTTAGTTTCCAAGATACTTTGGCTGATTATTATGCAATGGTCTAGGCTCTGGCATTGTTCCGCGTCCAAACACATCTGTTCTGGCTACTTCGCCATAAACCAAATACCTTAAGAGCTGAGAGCTAAACAGAGAACTTGAGCCAAGGTGCAAGACATGCTATCCTAGAAAAATGATCCTTGGCGAGCAGGTTCAGTGCGTTCGGCCAGGGCTTTGTTTATTTTTCTAGTTTGCACTGGCCTCGACTGACCCTGTTTGATCCTGTGGCCTGCAGCCTGCAGCCTGTTGCCCATCGCCTGCTGCCTGCTGCCTGTTGCTTGTTCTGTGGCTTTTGTTTCCGCATTTGCAGCTGCCACGCATTTGGAAATATTTGCATATGCGCACGCACTGTGGGTGTTTCTTCCCCGGGGTCTGTTCCGCTGGTCTGGCCACACAATGCCGTCTACTTTATTACTTTTTACGCATCACCTGTCCAGGGATCTGAACCTGGCAATGCCACGTGCTTTGTTAACCCAACTGACCTGCACTCGTATTTGTTTGCACTGACATTTGAGCCAGCTTAGGAATAGTTTTGCTCTTGAGTCAACGTGGTGGGTATTTTATTGTCGATTTGGAAAACATTCGAAACGTTCGTAATTAGGAGTGCATAGATGTAATCTATAGAGCACGTAAGCTGCAGATTTTTACAAATTTGTATACTCATATCACTCCTATCTTTAGTTATTTATCTTAGAACTAATCCAGCGGCCTAAGAGCACCAGATGCATAAAGATATCAATTGCTAAGTTTGCATAGCCAGAGATTTATAGAAATAGTTTTAAAGGAAAGAACTTTAAAGTTTCAATAAAACAAATAAATTTTGTGCGCTGTTAATAAATACAAGGCTTTCAATCATTTCTATCTTTATTTTCCATTTAAACTCTAGCTTATGATAATAAAGAAGACTTAAATATTTACAACAATTTTAAGAAA